CCCAAGCTGTATAAAGTCAACTATAAAAGTGCCATATACATAAATATCCTAAAATGACATAATATTTAGGCTACTGAGTTTCAACATCTTTTGTTGAGTAAAATATGCATATAGTAGGAAACAAACTGCATGTACATATATAACGTTACATGCATGTAGTGACTTTATCACAAAGTTGCACATGCATAAAAATAGTTTTAATTTCACATAGAACATAAACTAAATATAATTAATCGTATAATTTTAAAAATGTATTTAACGCCTCACTCATTTTCAGGAATATTTAATCCAAATAGCATGTTACAGGCCTATAGCAACGTTTTCGAAGTGATGGGGGGGGGGGGGGACTGCCAAAAAATCCCGCGTACTATGGGCCTGTGCTACATGTGTACCATCTAACTTTCCAATGATAGAATCTTCTGTAAAAAAAAATTCAAAACAAGTCCAAGCCGTTATGGATTATCAAAGATAGCCCATTTTTATAAATAGCAAAACTATAAATCTATCAAGGATAGATTTTAATTCATTTTTTAATTTTGTGCTATTAAAAAGTACTATCACTCAAAGTATAGGCAGATGTTAAAGATGGTCCAACCTGTCACCTTTTAGAGTAATCAATGAACTCGTCCAGTGATGCATTGACGGCCGTTGTTAGACGCAAAGGAAAGCGCGAGATCGGTTGCGGCTATGGAGCATCACTGAATATTCCTCCACCATATACTGATTTTGAATATACAGACGTTTTGAAGATAAACTTCATTTTTGTTTCTAGAAATGTTTTTATTTACAAAAATAGTACATTTTCGTGTTAGATCGATGACCATAACTCAGCCCCTCTAGCCCAGTATAAGGCTTCACCTTGAGTAAATAACCTGCACTTGTTATGAAACTGGTGTATAGTTCTAAACTTCTTTATGTCCGTAGCAAGTACCGATACCCAGTCTACCGATCTAAGCGTCACTAGGGAACGGTGCACACACCTATTCTTGCAAGACCAAATAGCCTAGCTGGTCTACACACGTGCGAAGATCTTTCCGAGCTCGGAAAATCACGTTGCTTTGCCGAGAAGTGTTTAACCATAATAACCATTCCGTTATTTAAAAAAAGAGAGAAAAAAAAACACACACAGTAATGATTAACATTCTAACTCAAAAGAAAATATACGGCAATTAACGAACAATAATCATGACAATCATGACATGTAATATAATTGGTGAAAAGATTTATCATTATCAATCGAAGTGTGACCTATATATTTTCGTGAAAAAGACTGAGGAGGCAGCGAGCGTAGGAATATGAAAACTTTTTATTTGCTTTTCTGGGGAAAAAGTGATTTTCTTAGAATCTTTTAACGTTAATTTTGTTTTCTTTAACGTATTAAATATACATGATTATTCTTAATATTTGTTGTAATGTTTTATCTACTGATCATGAATGGAACTATTTTCTTCGGAGCAATTGTGTGAAGAGTACCTGACTTTAGTAATATATCTTGAATAGATAATATGCACTGATCGAATATATTAAAAAGATGAAGTTATCACGTTTATCATAAAGTTTAGTCGCTAGTGTGCCATTAATGTCTTTCTCCGGAATAAAAATATCTAAATATGAAACAGATGTGCCAGACTCTGAGGTGTCTTTTATTTCAAGTTCCAACGGATATATCGAATCAACGTTGGAAACAAAAACAAATATTGTTAATCGATAAAACGTCGTCAATATATCTAAATGTCCAATTGAAGCCACAGCAAAATATTCTTTTCCCCTAGAAGTTTTTGAATAAATTCTGTTTCATATTAATATAAAAAGGTCTTCGCATAAAGGTCGATAAGTCCTTCAAATCAGAAATTGCAGGAATTCTAAAGAAATATATACGTAAGCATATCAATATTTTGTATTATGTTAAATTGAATTTCTGTAAAAAATGGATACAAGTTAAGGAAAAAATTATCCGATAATATTTTTCAGTTGAAAGCTTTTAACAGTATCTCATTTCTAGGGAATCAACTTTTACCTTTGCAATTTAACATGTGTTCATTCAAAATGGTGTTAACCTATCCTTTTCCGTAGGAAAACATAAACAATACGAATTAAATTACAAATATCATTATAAATATAATCATTTAATTTTATCTATTTGTTTCTTTAACGTCCCTTCGAAATTTTTTTTCACTCATAAAGACCTGTAGTCGGCACTGACAGCCTTTGAACATTGAAAGATTTTTTTTCGATATTTTAGCACCTACTGGCCAGGGGACCTCAATTTATACGGTCTCATTCGAAGGATCGGTTTACATTTCCCGCTATGGGATTCGAAAACCCGACGTAAGGATCATCTCCTTTCTCCGTGACTCTAGAGCCAATGCTCTAACCACTGCGCGACTTCATTTGACTGAATGAAATTGTATGTATTAGATTATTATATAAACTAAACACAAAATCTTTATACTGATTGATTTCAATTAACTGTCTTACACTCAATATAAGAATAAAAAAAGAGATAAAATATTTACAAATTGTAATAAAAAACTTTTCAATTTATTATATAATGTTATAGGTATTAAAGAAAGCATTTTGCCCATAAAATCAATGAATATTGATGCTGAGAATAATCTCCATAGTTTAAAAGTTTACTCATACATTTTTAATTCACTCGATGTATTTATTTTAATTACATGGAATATTTCTCTTTATGGATATTAATGGAATCCAAGAATATAACTAACTATTTTCGACGAGTAGAGGAGTAAAATAGCAATTAGAAAATTGCATGTTGTGACTGATTGCTGTATCGATATACAATTAATCCATTTGTTTGTAGCGATAACAAAACCACTTTTAAGTTCTGATATTCTGACAAATAAAAGAATTGCTCTTACACTAATGACCTGTGCAAATGCAATCGAAGAACGTAATTAACAAAATGCATACAAATAGTTCAAATGGTTTCCTTTTCGTCGGGTTGGAGCCATATGTTCCTCAGAGAAACATTTCTGTAAACAGAACATCGTACCATTAATAAAAACAACTTTTTTATTTACAATAGAATATTGCATTTTGATTCAAAAATAAAAGGAAGAATAAAAATACAGTATGTATGGTGTTTGCTTTGTTTAGATTTTCTTTACACTTCAAAGAGAACACAAGTTCAAAGCAAATTTAAATTATAAATTCAAAAAATATAACGCCTTTGGCTAATCAATATGAGGTTTATCAATATCGTATTAATGCTGCAATTAGAAATTCAATCTCTTTCTGTTCAAGTTGTTTGTGGAAATTGAATACTATTTCACAGGAAAATTTGCCATCGATTATTTGTATGAAATTCTTCGCAGAAAATGTTAAACATTTTCTATCTAGGGACGTTCCCTCGACACATCTAGCAATTAACAGAAATCGTAGAGATCTAGGATTTTTTTTCCTGAAAATACTGAACTATAACGGAGACACATAAATTTGAACTACCTGTAACCTTGGCCGTAACTTTTGAACTGTTGGTGCAAGGATTCATATTTCACAATGTTTGAATTTGTTTTATGTCATTCTGATTTGTGAGGTGGTTTATGAGAATAAAGAAACTTAAGTGTAATCTTTAAGTTATCAGTGGTTATCCCCCCTCCCCCCAATCTCCAGTCAAGTGCTTTACCAACTGAGCTGGAATTGGTGATTCACCTTTAACATGATAAAGGAATTTAAACCTGATTCAGGTTTTTTTTAATTGGTAGATTAAAAAAAATTCCCTAAGTGCATATTATCAAATTTCAATTCATTTCTTCTACAACGGATTGCATAACTTGTGAAGTAATCTTTCATTCTTTTCTTTAATTGTTGTAATTTGATATTGAAGACTAAAAATCACGTCGACATATCTAACTGTCGAATAGAATGTCATAGAATGAGATTTCTTCTTTTCAAATAGAAACTTTAGAATAAGAATACAATTCAGGTCGGCTAATCAAAGGGCACTAAGATCCCGGGAGAAGACATGTTGTCTAACGATTGCATAGATATTGTCAAGGAGGAATCCCAGCTTCCTTTTAATATCCATTTCTGAGCACTTGAGTGTAAAATCAAAATAATTTTTATCAGAGTTTGGCGTTTGATAAAAAGACTTTGAACATTTTCTTTGAATTGAAATGACAAATGCTATATAATCCGCAATATTTATTGAAGGGAATTAAAAAAAAACCCTTAAGTGTCATCAGTCTTTCCTATCATGCTATACTATATAGATGCTAGAGGTAGGACAAAATAGAATCGTCCATTGATTGAATAAACAACAGACAATGAATAGGCATAAGAAAATGATTTCCATGGCAATCTGCTGTCGATGAAGATTTCCTCATACTCTTCAACCAAGCTGTCAACAGCGACAGATATGATTATATCCAGACCTGCTTTGCATTAACAATAAAAAACTAGGGGAGTTAACCAGGACATTTCTCTGATCGAAAAACAATTGTTTTATTACTATTTCATGATTTTGTTTAATAATTTTATTCCATTAAACATATATGAACTTTTTTATCAGATGAGATGATAGAAAAACTGTGAAATATTACGGAGATTATTTATTCATGAAAGAATTTTATAGGTTATATGGAAGTTCATCCATATAAATATTTCTCAATGTGATTACAGCAAGTTTTGTTTAAAAACATCTGACATCAAACGAAGCTCATTTCTGCATATAATAAAGAAACTTTTTAAAGCTGAAAAAATAATGACAGTGTTAAAAAAATATTGTGCTTGTTCACGTTTTAGTACTACCGTGTGATGTTATCTATATAAACAAACTCAGCTGTTTCACTTTCACTGAAATTTCTTTAGACCTACAAGACTTTATAAATACGGATTGTCGATCGACAGAAGCCAGTGGAATCTGAGAGCAGGCTTCCGATGTAATCTTGCGACAGGTCGAGAAGGTCTGCCGCGACAGCTTAGGGAATTGCTGAGATTCTGGAGTTTGTTAGACGTTTAGAAACATTTTCACTGTGATATCTCATCTGATATAATTTAACTTTGAAAAATGTATTTGGTAAACAACACTACGCAGAGTGAATGTGCCAACATTGTCACAAATGAAGCTGTGAACACCGTTTTTGTTGTGGTTTACATTTTGATTGGAGTTTGCGGTTTGTTTGGGAATCTTTTGGTCATTTACGTTATTTTGAATTCACCGAAGATGAAAACGGTAACCAATATGTACATTTTTAACTTGGCTCTCTCAGATTTGATATTTTTACTACATATCGCTATGATCACAACCACCACTATTGTCAAGCATTGGGTATTCGGAGAAACCGTGTGTAGGATATTCTTTATGACGGCATCGGTTACCACGTTTTCCAGCGTTTTGACGTTAACAAGTCTAAGCGTGGACCGCTATATTGCTGTTTGTAAGCCTGTAATATCTCAGAAACATCGACAACGATTGAAAGCTGTGTTTGTCATCGTTTTTATTTGGCTACTTTCATTATTACTCTCAATGCCTATAATTCTATATTCAAAAAGAACATCACATCCTTATTTGGAAGGTAAATTTTCCTGCCAGGTAGACTGGCCTGACGTAAAGGTCGTTCCTGCATATATTATTTACACATTCATTCTGGGATTTGGAATTCCCCTTTGTTTCATTTCAACATTTTACACCTGTGTTATTCTTCATATGAAGAGTGCTGGACCAGTAAATCGACAAAGATCTACTGAACAACGTAAAAATCACAGGAAAGTCACCTACCTTGTTTTTGCAATCATTTTGACGTATGTAATCTGTTGGCTACCTTACTGGGTACTACAGATAGTACTTGTAGTACTGAGTCTGTACAACACAGTGATAGATACTATAGCAGTAGCATTACATATATGTACAGTCTTAACATTTGCTAACAGTATGATCAATCCAATTTTGTATGCTTTCATCAGTGAAAACTTTCGTCAAAGATTCAAGGAAGCATTTACGTGTCAGTGCATTTTTAAAGAACGTATTCGATACATCTTAACTCAAGGTCATACTAACACAACACAACAAGTTGAACTTGATTTGGTGAGGAGACATGCTAGTAATCAAACCGATGCTGAGACTACCCGAGACCAACAGGACAGCCTTGACCGGGAAAACAATGGAGGCGTTTACACAGGATTATGAAATGAAATGAACAATTCTATCTAGTTCATGATATTCTAAATTTTAAAAAAATCATTTGCTATCTTACGTGAGACGTGTATGCTGGCAAATTCATATAAACATGCTGATTTGATTCGTCACCATGCAGAAATTATTTGATTGAACTAAAACAGACTTAAAACTAAATGTAGCATACAATAGTAAATTTTAATACATGTTTACCTTCTTTACTGGAAACATTTCAATCGCACAGAAGGTACAGAACAGATCTTCTAATCAATTCTTTTGGAATAGGTAAATTGTGCAATTGCCCTAAAGGAATTTCAAAAAAGTGAGACCGCACTTGGTGAGGTTAAAATAATTCAAATTGTAAGAATTAATATGTTGAATTTTTTCACAATCACAAGAATTTGTCTGTTCTATAAATTCATTGTTATAATATTGTGCGTAAAAGGAGAAAATATTTTAAGAAAATTTAAGTATATACAAAAAGTTTTTGAAAAATTAAATTGTAAATATATTTTATCTTCTGGCAAACGGGGTCTCTATATTCACTTCTTCGACAAGACATTGTGCTTAGGAAGCTTATATGGGACTGTGAATGCATGACAAACACAACTTGTGTTGGCCATTTTATAAATTGAAGTTTATGGTGCATTTTCGATGCAGAGTGTTTCTCTGACAACCTAAAATCAGAAAATGAAAATGATTTAAAATTGATTATTTCGCAAGCAAAACCATAAATAAATGGAAATGAGCATTTCCGTGCATATGGTGTATTTGTAGCTGGTTGATCGAATTTGACACACACGCATTCTCAAGGACAGAATTTTGTTCTAGATGAAAACTGTTATTATTTTAAAAGAAGGAAAAACATAGAAGAAATTTGCCTTTTGAACGACATGTACTTATTTAAGAAATAAACCTTGATTTGAAATTACCATCTTGGTAAATTGTCCTTCAGATAAAAAAAAGCATAAAAACTTATTTTTTCTGTTTGTCTACAATATGTTTTAATCAGAAGTTTTAATTAGATATTGGAGATAGAGCATAATGTTTCGTGAGGGAATACTGTTAAGTTTCAGGTTAAACTAATATTCATATTGATTACTTTTCAAAGTGAATGTTACCATTTGCTCATTGGAATACCATTATCCTTTTAAAAAAGATACAGCACAGATAGCATTTCCTATCAACACTATTAAGTGCTACTTTGATAAATCCCGCAGGAGTGATCCTTTTTAAGTTAAAATCCACTGCAATGTCTAGTCAATTAAGAATCAAGAACTATTTTCACCACCTTATGAAAAATAAGGAATCAGAGACACAGAATTAGAGGTTCTTTGACAACCTTTGATAACTTATGATATATTTGTTGTATTAAAGTAAAACTACAAACATTTCTAGTTTTCGTTTCATAGTTACCCCCTCCCCCTCTCTATTACTGTAATCCCTACTCATGAAAATCGTTATTTAAAACAGTATTCTATGTCTTTTTTTTATATACATATACATTGTTAAAAGATATTTTTTGCAGAAGTTCAATGCCAAACGACTGTATTTCCAGATATCTATCCTATCCTACATAATGTTATATTATATTATATAATACTTATCGTATCATATCTACTGTTATATTATTGATTGATTGTATATTGCTTAACGTCCGATTCGAGAATTTTTCTTTCACATAGAGACGTCACAGTATGTCGATGAAGGGCTTCAAATTTAGACCTGTACTCGTCACTCAGGGCCATTGAGTAGTGAGGGTTCTTAAGCGTGCAAAGCCTACCGTGACAAGGGACCTAGGTTTCTAACATTATATCCTAATGACCCGTGACATTCACTTTTAATGCAGGGCGCTTGGAGAAGGAACAGTCACTACTTATGTTTACATCTTAGGTGTGACGCGGCGCGGCGAACCAGAATCGAACCCGGGCCTCCCGATCACGAAGCGAACGCCTTACCACTCGGCTACCATGACCGGTCATTATATTATTAATATAATACTTATCATATCTATAAATATAATTCCTATTATACAATGTAATATTATACTTTCATGTTATAGATTCGTCTAGAAACATTTGTTAAAACACTATTACCATTTGAATGATAAAACCACGTCCTTCAGGGCAACAGTGACGACGAGTGATATTCAAAAAAAAAAAAAAAAAAAAATTAACTGCACCAAATCTATGCATGCGCGCGCGCTTCATATTTATTTGTATTTGTTTAAAACATTCAATATTATATAATACAATAAATATTGCATGTAATTAATGGTTACATTGAAAAATTTCACCCCGAGAAAACCATTGTCAACCAAGGCGCAGCGGACATGCAGGATTTCTGTATTGTCTTAGTTAGTGTTTTATCTTTATTGGAGAAATAGCCACATTTACTGGGTAATTCGTACATCCTACTCGTCCGTTCCCTATTATTTGCTAAATTAGTGAATAAAAATCGAAACAACCTAAAAAGAAAACAAACAACAATAACATTAACAACGTGATAATAATAATAATAATAATAATGAAGCAAAACAAAGAGTCATGTTACGGAATACATCTATATGTATAGAATCAAATATCTTGCTAAAGAGTCATATAAAATCACAAAATATTTCATAGGATGAACCTACATCATTAGTCAACTGAATGGTCACTGAAAGGTCTGGAAAAGTCAATGAATGACACAGCTCTGGCATTCAGTCACTTTCAGTAAGTTTTCAGTCCCCTTTCAGTTAACTAAATGGTACAATTTCATCTTGTATATATTACAATATGCATTTTCAGTTTTTCTACAATTTCACCAGGTACTTGCGAAAAACCAATGAAACATTTCTAATAAGTTTGCTTGTGAATATCGTTATTTGGTTTAATTTTGATAAAAAAAAATTTCAATACATGTATCATTGATTTGATAACGGTTACCCGGTTATTGATAATTCAAACAAAGATAATTCTTATGTAATTGTCTAATCTTTAAAAAAAAAAAAAGATTATACATTTTTACAGATTATTGGAATAAATATGCATACTTAATTTTAGTTAATTGTCGCAATTAAAGTAAATGCATTCCGTTCGAGTAATGAGTTCACCATTTTCGTAAACAGATGTTGTGAGCGCGAGGAGAAGATCAATTTATTCCACATTGCTTTAATGAACTAGAATTTATCATATAAAAATCCTACTGACACGTTTATGTGTTAAATGGAAGGTTTCGGGTCATCAGTATCGCAAAGTAATTACGGAGGAGCAATTGTGGAAATGAAATAACGAACGAATCTAAATATTGTAAGAACATAATAGGCTAAATTCAGTCTTACAGCATCACAAATGTAATCGGTCAAAAGTGCCATATATTTTTTCCCACTGTGTATTAAGTATATACTTCCAAAGTTTTCAAAAGCTTCCAAAGACATAAGACTAGATCAAGATTTAGAATTTCTCATTTGGATAATCATTGGTAGCTGTCAATAATAACTTGCTTCCTAATTTCAATACTTAGGCTTAATGCCAATTTCTGGTTGTATTTTTATGATATACATTTATTAGGATGTAATAGAATTATTTCCCTATGGTATTTTCAGACGTGAATATAGAATGAATTTGCATTATGTTTTGCATCCAGAATATTTTCATCTTGATGAATATATTTCTCAACATTATCATCCAACAAAAAATATTGCGCATTCTGTAAAACTTATTATCGGGTGATTGATCCCCGACATTAAACAATATTCAAAGCAATAAATCAGTGTACATGGGCAACTCATATTTCCAAACATCGTGATCATAAATTTTGGGAGCGTCTTAGCGAGAGGTTATTTGTTGAAGGACGAGAAATATAGAAAGTGGAAATCTAAAATACAGGCAATTATTTTGTACCAAAGTATTGTGCTGCATTTACTTTGTACCCGAGTACTCTTGAAACAATTTTAAAGAAGAACATGTCAAAAATTGGAAGCTAGCAAAACTTTTAACGTCCTCATGGAAAATCTACAAGATAATTAATCTGAAAAACTGCGATTTTGTAATTAATGAAGTTATAGTTTTTTGATTTGTTAAGAAAATTCTTTACCAAGCAGACAAAAAAATTACTTAACAGTTTGTGATACCAAACACAAGACTTTAACAGAACACAATTTTAATAAACAAAATTTCAAAAAAGATACGAAACAGACAAAATCGGGTCTTCCTTTAAACAATCTACAGTTAAATTCTATTAAAATCGTTTTTCCATTAAACTCTTTATATTGCATTAAGGTTAAAACAATAACACCTTTAACACGAAGCCCTATAGTATAGCTGCCCCTTATATGCAAGATTAACTATGTCAACATGCAAAAAGTATATAAACATGGAAGATAATTATACTTACATGCAAAATAATTTTGTTGACATGCAAATAATTAATCTTTTTAGATGAAAAAGGCGAGGATAAGGAACAGTGATCGATATCAAAAAATCTTCAAACAATGTACAAATTTGTGAAAGGGCACTATACGGAGTTAAATTTCAGAGGCTGGATCGCTGCCTAGGAGTAAACGTCCCTTGTAGACAGGTCACATATGCTGTCAGCCCTATGTATTGATCAAGTAGACGAACATTCTGTCGTCAAAGTAAATATAAAAACAAGTTTGGCTTTCCAGAAAGCCTGAAATGTCATCTCTTTGTCTTCATGAATGTCACAGAATAAACAGTGGAATGTTATATCATTTTCTCAGCTATTACGGGCAGTTTAGTATCGCTTTGAAAAAGGGGGGGGGGCAGAAAAAAAATCGACGACTTATCTGAACAGTCTTGGACAAGGGGAAAAAGGGGCTGTCCAAACTCAACATTTTCATTTCTTAGAAGGGGGATTACAACTTTTCTAACATATTTTATATTATGATACATTCCCATGGAATGATTTGACGTACGATACTGCATCAAAAGATGGAAGATGGGGCAAGGGACACGTTTTCAATGTTTAGGAAAAAATGGAAGGGGCCGACCCTCCCGATGCGCTGATTCTGTATTATTTTACCTGCTGTAAATATGCTTTATTCCTTTTAAATATTGTTTGTACAATGTCTGCAAAAATCTAACCACTGAGAAATTATCGTAAAAAATAGATAACAATTTTTCCATATGAAGATGGAAATAAAACCTTAGCCTTCCCTTTGACTTTAGTTCTTAGTCGCCTTGTACGGCAGCAAAGAAGTTTTAAAGCGCTAACTTAATGTAATCTGAACCTCAATTAATTTCCAAAGATTTTCCTTATTTTCCTTAATCGTATCCTCTGAAATGACTTCGATATCGAGCCAGTGGGAATATCAAGGGAAAAATTGAGACTCTCCTGCCTCATACCCTTCTGCTGCCCATGCCGATTGATGTTTTGACGCTATATTATGTATAAGTACATGTACATGTATACGATCCTGGTAAAATAGCATGCATAGAAAGGTTATAAAATTGAAAAGTTACCATTTAAAATTAAGCATTTGCACAATGAAAAGAACCCCAATCTACCAACATTTTATAGGCTGTTCCATGAGACACACATTTTATAATTTTGGCTTTATTTCAAAAATACGAGGAGTGATTTTTTTTACTCTTTCCTATTAGCAAAAAACGCAACTTAGAATTGCATAAAGATAATGATAAGTTGCTTTATTTATTAATCCTTAAAAATCTTAGCCAAGTAAAGAAAATTGTGTTTTTCTTAAACTTTTCTGCAGGGGTAGATTTAAATAATAATAAAAAAGAATAGTGCAGACATCCGAGAAGATACTCGTAATGATTCTTTATGATCTTTATTCCAATGCCTGCAGCATTGAGTTACTTAAATCAGAGACATTTATGTTTCTGCATAAATTGTGCTTTTAGGTAAAATTTCTTTTCTTCGAA